AGACAGAGGGACGGAGTGGGAGGGTGAACGGGTAACAAGACAGAGGGGACGGAGCGGGAGGGTGAACGGGTAACAAGACAGAGGGGACGGAGTGGGGGGGTGAACGGGTAACAAGACAGAGGGGACGGAGTGGAGGGTGAACGGGTAAGAAGACAGAGGGGACGGAATGGGAGGGTGAACAGATAAGAAAACAGAGGGGATAGGAGTGGGAGGGTGAACGGGTAACAAGACAGAGGGGACGGAGTGGGAGGGTGAACGGGTAACAAGACAGAGGGGACGGAGGGAGGGTGAACGGGTAACAAGACAGAGGGGACGGAGTGGAGGGTGAACGGGTAACAAGACAGAGGGGACGGAGTGGGAGGGTGAACGGGTAACAAGACAGAGGGGACGGAGTGGGAGAGTGAACGGGTAAGAAGACAGAGGGGACGGAGTGGAGGGTGAACGGGTAAGAAGACAGAGGGGACGGAGTGGGAGGGTGAACGGGTAAGAAGACAGAGGGGAGGAGTGGGAGGGTGAACGGGTAACAAGACAGAGGGGACGGAGTGGAGGGTGAACAGGTAAGAAGACAGAGGGGATGGGAGTGGGAGGGTGAACGGGTAAGAAGACAGAGGGGAGGAGTGGGAGGGTGAACGGGTAACAAGACAGAGGGGACGGAGTGGAGGGTGAACGGGTAACAAGACAGAGGGGACGGAGTGGGAGGGTGAACGGGTAAGAAGACAGAGGGGATGGAGTGGGGGGGTGAACGGGTAAGAAGACAGAGGGGACGGAGTGGAGGGTGAACGGGTAACAAGACAGAGGGGACGGAGTGGAGGGTGAACGGGTAAGAAGACAGAGGGGACGGAGTGGGAGGGTGAACGGGTAACAAGACAGAGGGACGGAGTGGAGGGTGAACAGGTAAGAAGACAGAGGGGATGGGAGTGGGAGGGTGAACGGGTAAGAAGACAGAGGGGAGGAGTGGGAGGGTGAACGGGTAACAAGACAGAGGGGACGGAGTGGAGGGTGAACGGGTAACAAGACAGAGGGGACGGAGTGGGAGGGTGAACGGGTAAGAAGACAGAGGGGATGGAGTGGGGGGTGAACGGGTAAGAAGAGAGGGGACGGAGTGGAGGGTGAACGGGTAAGAAGACAGAGGGGACGGAGTGGAGGGTGAACGGGTAACAAGACAGAGGGGACGGAGTGGGAGGGTGAACGGGTAAGAAGACAGAGGGACGGAGTGGGAGGGTGAACGGGTAACAAGACAGAGGACGGAGTGGAGGGTGAACGGGTAACAAGACAGAGGACGGAGTGGAGGGTGAACGGGTAACAAGACAGAGGACGGAGTGGAGGGTGAACGGGTAACAAGACAGAGGGACGGAGTGGAGGGTGAACGGGTAAGAAGACAGAGGGGATGGAGTGGGAGGGTGAACGGGTAACAAGACAGAGGGACGGAGTGGAGGGTGAACGGGTAACAAGACAGAGGGACGGAGTGGAGGGTGAACGGGTAAGAAGACAGAGGGATGGGAGTGGGAGGGTGAACAGGTAAGAAGACAGAGGGACGGAGGGGAGGGTGAACGGGTAAGAAGACAGAGGGACGGAGTGGGAGGGTGAACGGGTAAGAAGACAGAGGGACGGAGTGGGAGGGTGAACGGGTAACAAGACAGAGGGACGGAGTGGGAGGGTGAACGGGTAAGAAGACAGAGGGGACGGAGTGGAGGGTGAACGGGTAACAAGACAGAGGGACGGAGTGGGAGGGTGAACGGGTAAGAAGACAGAGGGGACGGAGTGGAGGGTGAACGGGTAACAAGACAGAGGGGACGGAGGGGAGGGGACGGGTAACAGAAGAGGGGACGGAGTGGGAGGGTGAACGGGTAACAAGACAGAGGGGACGGAGTGGGAGGGTGAACGGGTAAGAAGACAGAGGGGACGGAGTGGGAGGGTGAACGGGTAAGAAGACAGGACAGGGAGGGGACGGGGAGTGGGAGGGTGAACGGGTAACAAGACAGAGGGACGGAGTGGAGGGTGAACAGGTAAGAAGACAGAGGACGGAGTGGAGGGTGAACGGGTAAGAAGACAGAGGGGAGGAGTGGGAGGGTGAACGGGTAACAAGACAGAGGGGACGGAGTGGAGGGTGAACGGGTAACAAGACAGAGGGACGGAGTGGGAGGGTGAACGGGTAAGAAGACAGAGGGGAGGAGTGGGGGGTGAACGGGTAAGAAGACAGAGGGGACGGAGTGGAGGGTGAACGGGTAACAAGACAGAGGGGACGGAGTGGAGGGTGAACGGGTAACAAGACAGAGGGGACGGAGTGGGAGGGTGAACGGGTAAGAAGACAGAGGGGACGGAGTGGGAGGGTGAACGGGTAACAAGACAGAGGGACGGAGTGGGGTGAACGGTAAAGACAGAGGGCGGAGTGGAGGGTGAACGGGTAACAAGACAGAGGGACGGAGTGGAGGGTGAACGGGTAAGAAGACAGAGGGAGGAGTGGGGGGAGGGTGAACGGGTAACAAGACAGAGGGACGGAGTGGGAGGGTGAACGGGTAAGAAGACAGAGGGAGGGAGTGGGAGGGTGAACGGTAAGAAGACAGAGGGACGGAGTGGGAGGGTGAACGGGTAAGAAGACAGAGGGACGGAGGGGAGGTGAACGGGTAACAAGACAGAGTGGACGGAGTGGAGGGTGAACGGGTAAGAAGACAGAGTGGACGGAGTGGGAGGGTGAACGGGTAACAAGACAGAGGGGACGGAGTGGGAGGGTGAACGGGTAAGAAGACAGAGGGGACGGAGTGGGAGGGTGAACGGGTAACAAGACAGAGGGGATGGGAGTGGGAGGGTGAACAGACCGGAGCAGCCGCCAGGCGGGTCTCTCATGGGCTCGGAGGACGCCCAAACCCTCAGACCTGGCACCCAGCCTGGACCAGGTCGGGATCCTGCGGGCTCCCCGGGGCGGCCCCTGTGTGTATTCTAATGTGTTTGCAGCAGCGAACAGAGCTGCACTGTTATGCTGGAACATTTCATGAACCTCAAGTCTTTTATCTGAAATCGAAGCTTAAATGACTTCTTTTAACTACTGGCTCGTGGGCCAGCCCTATCCAGTGGCTGAATAAAAAGGAGAAAGGCCGTGCTGTCCCATTTGCAGGCTTCAATGAGCTCGACAGCCCCGGGATCTCAGAGGGCAGAGAGCTGATCTGGTTGCAGGACTTCAAAGACAACGGGCGCAGGAGCCCGCACCGCCTCGGACTGGCTGTGGCCAAGCCCCAGCTGGCCCAGGCCCGTCCACCCTGGGTCTGGGGAGGGGGCTGGCTGGGCGGCGGGCGGCATCTTCCAGTGGGAAGGTGAGTTTTACCCAAACAAAACAAAACGCATCTGCCTACAGTTAAGAGTCCAGTTTCTCTGCACCAAAGGGGGAGATCGTGCTTTTATGACCAGAGCTTCCTTCTTCCCATGACCTCCCCTTGTAAGATTGTGTCTTCTCTGGGAACGACTAGGTATTAATTATACGGTAAATGCTTTCTATAGTGCCAAAGACTCTATACATGCCTGAAAGAAAAAAGAAAAATAAAGCAAACGCTGTTCTTCAAGAAAAATGGAGTCTCGCCAGTGAGAAATTCTTAAGAAACAGGAGAATCTGGCTCGGCAGAAGCCACGGGGCCATCCCAGAGAGCGCCACGAGCTGCCCCACCCTGCTTCCAGCACCTCCTCTTGACCCGGCAGCCCCCTCTGCCATCCCGAGGCTGTCATCCCTCCATCCCCCCCAGCTCCACGGGGCCCTCCAGTGCTCCAGGCCACTGACCTGAGTGGATCCCTGAACCAGTAGCATCAACATCACTCTCGGCAACCTTGCCGGAAATGCAAATTCTCAGAACACCCCAGACCTTCTGAATCGCACACAGCGACGGGATGTACAAGAGCTGGAGCACCAGTGCCTGGGCCTTTCCCTCCCCTCTCCTCTCCATTACTAAAGAAAAACAACGCTACGTCCCTTCCAGTGGGGAGCCCACGTGCACCGTGACACGCTGCAAAAGAAAAACAACGCTACGTCCCTTCCAGTGGGGAGCCCACGTGCACCGTGACACGCTGCGCTGTGCGCATTCCATCGGCACCTCTGCTCAGTGTCCCGACACAGCAGACAGTGAGAGCGGCAGGGCAGGGCAAAGGGCAGGCCAGAGGCACCCTGGGCCACTCGGAGGCTGCAGAGGGCAGCCCTCTGCCCAAGGCAGACATGGTCTCACGGAGTGCCAGGCAATCTTGGGGCCCAACCACAAGCCAGTTAGGAAGACCAGGGAGTATGACAACCACTGGTTAATGATGTCATAACACTCTGGGTGCTGCCTACTAATCATGGCATCATTAACAATCTCCAGGACTCTGCAAACAGATCCCCAAGTTTGCTCTTTCACCCACAGTAAAGACACTCCCACACTTTGTCTACAAACAAGCTTCGTTTCACCAGGGCAGCCTGGGTGTGGAGAGGTGAACGCAGTTGCAGTGGCCGGTAGAGAGGGAGAGGGTACGCGTCCTAACGGGTCTCTGTGGGCACATTGCTGGCCCAAGACACCGGGAGAAATGGATGTTGAGGGCAGGCAGCGTGTGGGGAGTGAGGTCAGTGCTATGTGCGGCCACGGAGGGTGGCCGGGATTCGGGGAAGCAGAACCGAGCCCAGCAGACACCCCTGCACCCCCACCCAGGCCCACACCAGAGCAGGAAGGCGGGAGTGCCATGACCGCAGGGCCAGCGGTCCATTTCCCGCAACACGTCCCAACATGTGCCTCTGACGGACAGTGACTGACACACTAACTCATTCAACAAACATGCCTAGAGCTCACACTAGATGCCAGGCAGGGGCAGGGTGCCTTCCTACACATCTCACAGGGCTCAGGGCTCCAGGACGTTGGCCGTTCTGCTGTGGCAGATGTGAATTACGTGCCGTGAGGATGGTGGCCAAGCACTGGGTTGGTGAGGTGCCGGCGGAAGGATGAGAATCCGCATCTCAGCCTGACAGTCCGACTTTCTAACCCTCCTTATACACACTCCCAAATGCTGAAAACTTTATTTCCTCGTGAAACACGGCCATTCGTGAGAGGACAAACTCGCAGGTGAGAAAATACACAGGAAACACTTATTTCTCTATGAAAACATGAGTCTGAGGAAAGCCAAGAGATTCTACAGACATTTCTGCAGCCCTCTACTGGAGACTTGCAAAGGTCTGCACGTGTACCCCTTCGGACGTCGTGTACCCCTTCGGACGTCGTGTACCCCTTCGGACGTCAAGGGTTTACCGAACACCATTTCCACATGGTCTATAGCTATGTCAGAGGGCAGCTACTCCACCATCATTTCTGATCCACACATGTCAGATGTTCGTCTGGAGAAGGAGAAATATAACTCAATGTTGTTAATTGCACTCCAAAGAGTCCCACAATTTTTTCTAACTTTTTATTGTAGTAAAATGTATATAACAAATCTTGCCACTTTCATCATTTTTAGATTTATTTTTAGAGATGGAGTCTCACTATGTTGCCCAGGCTGGCCTCCGAATCCCTGGCTCAAACAATCCTCCCTCCTCAGCCTCCCAGTGACTGAGACACAATTCAGGGGTGTTACTAACATTTGCACTGCTGTGCCACTGTCACCACCATCCATTTCCAAATCTCTTCCCTGAACAGAAAACTCTGTAACCGTCACGCAGTAAAGTCTCCATTCTTCCCTCCCCCAAGCTCCGGTAACCTCTAATCTACTTCCTGTAAAGTCTCCATTCTTCCCTCCCCCAGGCTCTGGTAACCTCTAATCTACTTCCTGTAAAGTCTCCATTCTTCCCTCCCCAAGGCTCCGGTAACCTCTAATCTACTTCCTGTCTCTATGAGCTTGTGTATGCTAGATATTTCACATAGGCAGTATCATATATTTGTCATATCAGAGATTTTAGTCACTGGCTTATTCCACTTAGCATAATGTTTTCCAGGGTTCATCCAAACTTCATTCCTTTTTATGGCTGAGTAATATTTCATTGCATGGATATACCACATTTCTTATCTCTCATCAGCTGATAGACTTGTAAGTTATTTCCACCCTCTGGCCGTTGTGAATAATTCTGTAGGAACAGTGGGTACAAATGTCCATTCCGGTCCTTGTTTTCAATTCCTGTGGTTGTACACCTAGAAGTGCAATTGTTGGGTCAAGTGGTAATTGTATGTTTAACGTGTAGAGAAACCATCAAACTGTTTTCCATAGTAGCTGCATCGTTTTAAACTCCTATCAGTAATAAAAAGGGACTCCAATTTCTCCACATCCTTGCCAATGCTTGTTATTTCCTGATTTTTTAAATCATAACCCCTCTGGTAGGTGTGAAGTGGTATCTCACTGTGGTTTTGATTTTCCTTTCTCAAATAAGAATACTCGGTATGTTTTCATTTGTTTATTGGCTATGCATATCTTCTTTGGAGAAATGTCTATTTGCCCATTTTTGTGTTTGGTTATTTGTCCTTTTGTTGTTGAGTATTTTTTTGCAGTTCTTTATATATTCTGAATATTAAGCCCTCATCAGATAAATGACTTGCAAATATTTTCTCCCATTTTGTAGGATGTCTTTTTACTTTCTTAATAATGTCTTTGGATGCACACAAGTCTTTCATTTTGATAAAGTCAAATTTATCTGTTTTTTTTTCTTTTGTTGTTCATACTTTAGGTGTCACAGCTGAGAACCCATTGCCATATCCAACATTATGGAAACTTACCCCTGTTTTCTCCTAAGAATTTTATGGTCTTGGCTCTTAAATGTAAGTCACTGATCCATTTCACGCTGATTTTTGTATCTGACAGGAGACAGGGTCCAACTCCATTCTTTTGATGTGGAAACCCAGCTGCCCCAGCACCATCTGTTGAAAAGACAATTCTTTCCCATTAAATGAACTTGGAGCTATTATCAAAAATCGTCCGGCCATAGCTGTGTGGACGTCCGGACTCTCAGTTCTCTTCATAGTCTATGCATCTATCCTCAGGTCCACACCACACCGTGTGGATTACGGTACTTCTGTAAATTGTGAAACTGGGAAGTGTGAGTCCTCTGACTTTGTTCTTTCTCAAGACTGTGTTGGCTGTTAGGTGTGCCTTGAAAGTCTATATGAATCTTAAGATAAGCTTTTGCAAAAGGCTGTTAGAATTTTGATAGGGATTGTATTGCATCTGTAGACGGTTCTAGGTAGTATTGACATGTTAGCTACAGTAAGTCTTCTTACCCGTGAGTATGGAATATCTTTCCATTTAATTAGGTATTCTTCAATTTCGTCCAGCAATATTTTGTATTTTTTTCAGTGTACACATCTTTCTTGCTGGGTTAAATTTACTTCTAGGTATTTTATTCTTTTAGAGCTAATTTAAATGAAATGACTTTGTTAATTTCCTTTTCAGATTGTTCATGGCACATGTATAGAAACACACTTGATTTTTGCATGTTGATCTTGTTCCCAGCAATTCTGCTGAATTCATTTATTAGTTCTAGTAGCTTTCTTGTGGAGTCTTGGAGATATTCCACACATAAGACCATGTCATTTTTAACAGGGATAGTTTTCATTCTTTTCTTTGCAATTGGATGCCTTTTATTTCGTTTTCTTGTCTAGTTGCTCTGGTTAGAACCTGGAGTACAACGTTGAACAGCATCGGTAAAAGCGGGTATCATCTCTTGTTCCTTGTCTTAGGGGTTAAAGTGTTCACCACTGAGTATGGTGTTAGTAGGTTTTTCATAAATACCCTGCTACAGACTGAGTGTCTGTGGCCCCCTACAACTCTCATGTTGAAACCTAATTCCCAGTGTGAGCGTATTAGCAGGTGGAGGCTTCGGGAGGTGATTAGGTCATGAGGACAGAGCCCTCGTAAATGGGATTAGTGTCCTTACAAAAGAGATCCCAGAGAGCTGGCTGGCGCCTTCCACCGTGTGAAGATATAACAAGAATGTTCCGTCTATGAACCAGGAAACAGGCCCTCACCAGACACAGAATCTGGTGCCGCGATCTCAGACTTCTGACCTCCAGAACAACGAGAAATAAACCTCTGTTGTTTACGGGCCACCTTGTATATGGTGTTTTGTTAAAGGCGCCCAGCTGGACGAGGACACGCCCTTTACCTTGTTGAAGAAGTTCCTTCTATTTCTAGGGTTTTGTGTGTTTTTATAATCAAAGAAGGTTAGGATTTTGTCAAATGCCTTTTCTGTGTTTATTGAGATCTCATTTTTTTTTTTTCATTCTATAAATGTGGTATATTGTATTGTTTGATTTTCTTTTTTTTTTGTGAAACAAGGTCTCACTCTGTGACCCACGCTGGAGTGCCCTGGCATGATCACAGTTCACTGCAGCCTCAACCTCTGAGGCTCAGGTGATCCTCCCACCTCAGCCTCCTAAGCAGCTGGGACCAAAGGGACCCGCCACCACCCCCGGCTAATTTTTGTATTTTTTGTAGAAACAGGCTTTTGCCATGTTGTCCAGGCTGGTCTTGAACTCCTGGGTTCAAGCGATCCGCCCACCTCAGCTTCCCAAAGTGCTGGGATTACAGGCCTGAGCCACCGTGCCCAGCCCTGATTTTCTTACGTTGAACAATTCCATTATCCCTGAAAGAGATAACTAATTACAAACTATGTATTACTCTATGAAAATTATGCTCTGATCACCATTTTAAAGATTACTTCATTATTTCATTCAAGATATACTTATTTTGCACCCAGGCATTATTTTGAGCACTGAAGGCACAGCCTGGACTAAACAGTTATCTCTGCCTTCCTGTGAGAGGAGAGACAGAGAGTGAGTGAGGCAGGTATATATCAAGTATCTAGTCAGTGATAAGTGATAAGGAAAATAATATGGCAAAAACGGGGAAAAGAGTATGAAGAGGCTGAGATTCTAGACAGAGAGGCCTAACTTACAGCATCACGGCTTACACACGTGTCCACAACTCAACACTGCTTTCGAAACAGGAACACTTTTAGCAAAGAGGAAGAAATTGCCTCAACAGACTCAGTGTCTTTTCCACAACAATCATCCGCCAAGCCGCAGGCCCAACCAGGAAATCCCATTTCCTTTTGGCCTCGTGTCCTCCACCAACAGATCCAACCCCGATGCCAAACGCTGTGTGGTTTGTAGGTGTTGTGAGCCAATGCGGGCATGCCCAGGGCCAAAGGCTGCCCTCTGGAACCAGGGCAAGGTTGCAGACTCCATCAGACAACGAACGGAGCCTACTCCAAAATCAAATGCTCAACACATGCAGCTTTTCTCAGGCCCTTTACTCATTTCCACGGCTGAAAAGACTCAGGATGGGCATTTGTCCACAACTCCTACAGGCTAATTTCCTGACATATGAGTATTTAAGAAGTTATAAAAGGTTACATTATCTTTTCATTTTTGACAACTATATACTAACAGAACTTGAACACAGCCATCTGACCTTCAGAATCAATGAAATACGCAGCCTGAGAATAAAGAGAGGGCGTGCTGTTTGATGACCTGACGTCAACACCTAAGCAGCCACGAAGTGTGGCCTGAGCCGGAGCACAGAAATGAAAGGAAAATAAACTCAGATTTTAACAGCCAGATGTTACCCAGGTTAAACACAACCTCATTTAAATTACGAAATGACAAGATACTTATTAATAGCGATGGAGCCGTGAACAGAGCACGTCTCGGAGAAGCCCCCGTGAGCTCCGCGGCCTCACGCCACCGTTTCCGGTGGGCAGCACCCCTCTTGGCTCGCGCCCTTCCTCCCGGCTCCCGCCACAGCAGACAGGAAGCACTGTGTGAGCAACAGGAACCCTGCGCTTCCTTGTCTTGTGCACTGGCCAACCAATTAGCATGTCACCATGAGGGGCAGATGCACATGAATATGGAGCACGGAGCCTCATTTTTCTGTTCAGTCTGTCAAGCCATGAATTCACTCATCCCATTTTGTCCTAAAACCTTGGGGTGGGGGTGGGGGTGGGGGCTGCAGCGAAGGAGGGTTTCAAAAGCCCCATCTACAGGGATGTGAAAAAAAAGAAAAAAAAAAGTCAGGCTCTGTCAGCCCTAAAGGGCATTTCTAAGAGCAATGGTACCATCTTTCCATATCCAGGTGCACTTCCCTGTGGAAGGTTCTAGACACACTGGCCGCTCAGATTATTCCCTGTGGCAGACAGTGGTATTGTTACATGTGCTCTCCACTTGTGTAAAGAAAAGGGAAGACCTGATCTAAGAGTTTTGAGGCTGAAAGATATAGCAGGTATAACCAGACATTTAACATGAAAAACCCAAAGATCCAGATGAGATGATTGGTTGACATAAGCTCCGATAAAGGTACAGAAATGAAAATATGCAATGCCTAATTCTACTGATCGGATTAGAGCAATTTCTATTGAAAATTACTATTCTTTGCTCACAACACAGTTTAAAGCAATGTAAACACACTCCTATTGCTACTGTGCCCAAATACTTCTCTGCCGAGCTATTAGCCATCGTTTCATTTTATAAAAACCATAATAGAAAATGTGGCCAAACAGATAGTGGAGTGTTCCCAGCAATATGGAGAAACAGTTGTGTTTATGCAGAGATTAGTCTTTCAAATTGAGAGATCTCCAAAGCTCCATTTGTACTTGAAAGGCTTGTCTTTTTGTTACCCAGTAAATAGCTCATTCATATTCTACAAAGAAAACCCTCTAAATTGGGAGAAATAGCCATATTTAACATTAGGTAGGGAAATGGGGCTGAAAGCGAGAAAAGAAGTCTATTTCCCCCAGTTTCTTGGACTAGATTAAAGCTTTCCTTTATAATTTAAAACAGCCTCTGTTTTCTCCACATATAAGAGGCAGAAATTTCATGAAAGGCTGAGAAGTTTATCCATTAATGCAGAAATTATGCCAAAGAACAAGTTAAGAAACACATTTTTAAAAAGCAATCTTGGGTCCTTTTCTCTTATTCTGCCGTACATGTTTCTGAGCTGCTGCAGCTCCCTTAAGACGGGGGTGGCTGTCAAGCTGGCCTGAAGTGTGGGTGCCACACGGGCCCCCATGCAGGGCTCTTTCTGCGAAGCCCCAGGGCGCCACGCGCTGTGGGGTGACTGCCCTGTCACTTGCCGTTAGTTACTCAGAATTAAAAATAAGTACCAGAATCGTGTGAATGAGGTGAACACTAGATGATGTAAATTAAAGCCATCCAAACGCATGATGTATTCCTTGCCATCTCAAAAAAATGACAATTTGGGAGATGAGAATATGTGTTAACAACTGTTTTTAAGCCTGTTTGAGCATAAAAATAACAGAATGGAGCTCTAGTGTTAATTTAGGGCAAGGAAGGGAACGCAGAGAAGGCATCCTGTTCTCTTCGCCAGGCAGGTG